CCATCTGGGTTATGGCACCATTGTAACCTCTCAGATTCTACTCAAGCTTTCTCGGAGCAGGATTCAGATCTGCGTTACAGGAAAGAGAACAGACCACACAGACATTGGCATCTATTATGCCAGCCCTAAAAATCTCCCTTCCATCTGGGTTATGGCACCGATTAAATTCAAACCAGCATCTTATTCTAGTGTAAAATTCCTTATTGCCTATAGATTGACACAAATAGAAACTTGACAGATCCTCTGCACTGTTAACTTTACTGAAAATCATGAATGCGCATGCTCTGATCCGCTCATCTAATAAATGAACAACATGTATTGTTGACATAAAAAGATTAAAATAAAATGTAGTCAAAAGAAAAAACTAGCCAACATTCAATTGGGTACATTCATTACTGGTGCAGCAGACAGGTCAGGTATCTGTTTATATCAAGTTATTTTCATTGATGAAAGTTAATTTGATCTCATTGGTCCAGGTTCATTGAAAATACATGCCTCAGCCAACATTTCAGCAAAACGTTTCTCCTGGTACATTTCATGGTATGTTTCAGATGACAAATCCACTAGAGGCCGCTGTCTATTTTTTTGTGAATCCGAAATACGTTACTTAGGGTAAGTTTTGTTTTGTTGTCTATTTCAGATACACATCCCTGTACAAATCCATGCGAAGGCTGCATTTGTCCTACAGGTCACCTCGCGAACCACTAACCCAAACCCAACCAACAGTGTCTTCAAAAGCAAAGGTTATAGAACTGTGCACTGCAACCATGTACTGTGATTTTACATTTATATTATACTATCTGGCCTCATTTGCACCATTATATCCTCCTGGACAAAACTTCTGTCCTGTAACTTGGGTGGCACCTTTTTAAGGTACATGTTTGTTCCTGGCTGCTTAAAAGGTACATATTAACACCTAAAAAGTACCTCACAGTAACTTAAAGATACAAAAGTCAACTTAAAAATGCAAAAGTAAACCGTAAAGGTACAAAAGTATACCCTAAAGCAGGGGGCTATAACTGATCTCATTCCTGGAGGTCCGGTGCTCTACAGGGTTTAGCTTCAACTTGCCTCAACACACCTGCCTCGGTGTTTCAAGTATACCTAGTAAGACCTTGATTAGGTGGAGCTAAAATCTGCAGCACACCGGACCTACAGGAACAAGTTTGGTGATCCCCGCCCTAAAGGTACTAATGTCCACCAGTATGATACAAAAGTGAACCTTTTGAAAAGGTAACACCCCAGTACCTTTATTTCTGAGAGTGCATACTATTCATGCCACAGTTTTAAGGCTGGATGTCCTGTACAGAGCATATTCAGTTCTTCACAGAGACACCAAATTTTATGAAGTTTCATTATGAACATATCCTCTCCTTGGTCTTTAAAAATGTCTGACATTAATTTATTGACTAGGTGTAACATTTTTTTAGAAATATGGTCGTATTTCGTAAACATATCATTTCAATCAACTGAATACATTTTTTCATAAATCAGCAACTCAGAAGGAACATATTGTGTTCTTTCATGGAGGTCACAATCGACAAAAAAAAAAAAAAAAAAGTTGACAAATTAACAACAAGAAAATATTACGTGATTTCAAATCAAAATATGATTTTCTGTTATGACAAGACATTGATTTCATAGACGTCCATTTTAGAAGACACCATGACTAAACGCAAGTTTATTATGCATTTTAGCAGACACAAGTGAATTGGAAAAAAATTACTCCTCCAATCATGGCATTTCTTTTTTCGTTTCATGTTGCCATAAGAATGTGTCAATATGTATAGTTCACAAATGCATTGTCTACAATGGGAAACTGCTCCAGTGTCATCCTACCTTCTACTGCGACATATTTGCTATACCCAGAACTAAAACTAAATGCCATGAACTCTTTGATGTTGTTTAATTATTGTTTTACTTTGTTTGTTTATCAAGTCATATGTTAGTATTTTTAATTGTCAAATATTGTTTTGAGTGTGTATTTGATGCATTTCAGGGAACTGTGCTGCAATACCCTGTCCTGTCAGATTTTATATAAACTACACTAAACTAAAGTAAACTTATGGTGATTTTACACAGACACTGCATTAGTTAAAATCATATATCAAGCTGTTTATCCTTTTATAACATCGTTATAATCATTTTTAAACAAATTTCGATGTAATCATTTTTTTGTGTTATTTATAAGTTTGTTTTACTTTTTTATTTAAATGAACTCTGATGTCCGCCACAGAGCTCATCACCTTACATTCATTCATTTATTGCCCTTCGGCTTAATCTCTATTTCAGAAGTTGCCACAGCGGAAAGAACCACCACTCACCCACTTACATTAGGATAAAATACCAATTTTATGTAATCATTTAGTTTAAAATTATTTTTCTTATGCTCTTAACAATGTAATAACTATTAGGAACAAGAAGTTAAAAGAAAAGATCCCAGGAGAATACGTGAACTTTGTCTCTTTGCTCAACTTAATTGTACGGACACTTACTGTACAGTAAATGAATCTGTTGAATCATTCATAGTCTGTGGGCTAGTTAAGTGTATAATTAGATAAAGGGAAGTGGACTAATGCTAAGCTCCTTAAATCTGTCTGTATCATGTCACAAACAGATGTCACGGACACACTTTATAAGAGTTTTAACTTTAAAACAATGGATTCCTTGTTAACCCGCACAGTCTGACAAACCAATGTCACAATGTATATATTACTTATTCAGCTTCCTGGTTTCAAAGTGTAACATGTTTAAGCACTTTATGTTGAGTTTAAGTTTATTTATTTATTATTATTGAAAAGAGAAAGAGTTGAGTGCATTCAAAGACACAAAACGCATGGCCAAACTAATGATAATATCGCCAATGCTTAAATCCCCAGCCAAAGCGATAGGTTTTCTTTGAAGAAGTAACGTAGGACCAAAAACATAAACACACAATAGCATTTGATATCCAGTCAGTAAGCAATTAGTGACGTTGATGAATGAATAGGTGTTTCCAGGTCAGCCATATTGAGATCTGTTCACCTAATGCTTCAGGTCAAAGCACTTCATTAGGTCATGCGTGTGTTTTCTGGAGACCTTATAGCCTGACCATGCCATGTACACTCTAAAAAAATGCTGAATTCCATCTCCAACTCCATCTCAGTTGAACACAAATTAATAAAGTTAACATAGTGTTTTTTGCCATTTTAAGTTGATTGAACATAAAACAATTAAGTCATCCTTGAAAAAAACCCTTAAAGAACTGTGGTTTTAGCTCATTTTATATCAATAGTTTAAACAAGCATCAAAAACATTTTGAGTGTATTTATATAGCAACGTAATTGGTGGTTCATTCGGCTATATATATATATATATATATATAGCCGAATGAACCACCAATTACTTTGCTATACTGTATGTATTATGTAGCCCTTCCAGCCACAACCCAACACTGAAAGTTTTACTATTATATTACATAATTTTTTTTCATAGATCTTTTTATAATAGATTTTTATTTATTTATCCTTATATTATATTACACCTTGAAAAAGTGATTAGTTGGCGTAACTTAAAAAAGTGAGTAAAGAAATTGTCCTAAAATTATGAAGCAAATAAAGTTTATGCATTCATTAATTTTCCTTCGGCTTAATCAATTTATTTATCAGAGGTCACCACAGCAGAATGAACCACTAACTTATCCAGCATGTTTACACAATGGATGCCGTCCAGCCACAGCCCAGTACTGGGAAACACCCACACACATGCACTATGGCCAGTTTAGCTTATTTAACCCTTTGATGCACAAGCTTTAAAACAGATATAGAAAAAATAAACTTAGATGGGTCACTTTAGACCCATGTAGCGCATCAAAGGGTTAATTTACCTGTATCTCAGGGTTTTGGATTGTGGTGGAAACCAGAGCACCTGGAGGATACCCATACTAACATGGGGAGAACATGCAAACTCCACACAGATCTTACAGCTGACCCAGCCAAGGCTTAAACCAGCGACCTTCTTGCTGTAAAGCGACTTTGCTCACCACTGAACCACCGCGCCGCACAAAACCATGTGCATACTTATAAAAATTAAGTTTCAATGGGTTTACTCAAATTTAGAAGTAAAGTCAACTCAGTGCTTTTAAGGCAACATATTTAATCACTTTTTAAAGTAAAGTAACTCATTTCTTCTTATAGTCTACACAGGCTTCCACACATTTATATTGTCCAAACACAAATTAAGTTGACTTAATTGTTTTGCAAATTGAAGTGGATAGAATATAAGCAAGTTTTCTGCAAAGAATTTCAAAAATTGTGATTTTTTTCCCCTCAGCTCATTTTAAATAAGTAATTTGAACAAGTAAAATTTTACAGTAAGGTTTCATTTGTTTATTTTTAGTTCATGAAATAACAACTGAAATATTTTTAACGCTAGTTCATGTACTGTGAACCAGTATGAACAATTTAGTTTTTACTAATGTAACAAGGAAGAATAAGATGATGAGATGATGCTAAGACTAAAAACTATAAACTATAGTTTATAAACAATAAAAAAAGTAAAGTCTTCCTTTGTTTGATAAATTATCATATAATCTTTAAAAGAATCATTTGCATTTTCTTTCGACAAGTCTGCAATTGTAAAAACAGCACGTTTATATCACAGGCATAACACTTGTCTTCAAATTAAAATATGAATATCCATGCATTCTCAGACTGTTAGACATTACATTGTATTGATTAGCATTATAAAATAATATATTTATATAATTGTAAATATCTAGCAACACTAAATTTTTTATCTACAAACAAATAAATTCCCCTCAAAGGAAAAAACAAATTAGGTTTCTTTTTCTTTTTTGCCTGAGCATACAAAAAAAAAAGAAAGAAGAAAAAAAAAACATTGCACACTACATTTACCAGTGTAAAGAACTACAGCTGAACACACCTTAATCCGACAATAAAATGCCAAGCTTACATCACATCCCTTTAACAAAACTGAATGACAATGAATAAGAATCATACCTGCTAAAAAGAAGCTGCATTAAAAAGTTTTCTGAAGAGAAAAAAAGGTCCGCCAGCCGCAGTCGGTCTCAGAGTTGGGGCAAGTTAGTCCATTCCAAACACACTGATCAGATTGAGAGGGATTTGCTTTAGGGAGGATAAATTTAACTCACTCCACTCCCTCCATCCCTCCCTCCTGTTTTCTTTACAGTCCTCTTTAATTTCACAGCTTTAAATGATGTGCTAAACATCACATTTCTGCACATTCTTCACCATTTTGACATTTAAACTACTAGAATTTGTCTGATTTAAAGGGACAGTTCACACAAAAACAAACAAACAAGAATATTCTTACCCACAGGTAATCCCAAACCTTTATGAGATTCTTTTTTTCTTCCTTTTTGTTGTTGTTGTTGAACACAAATGAAGATACTTTGTAGAATGTTGGAAACTGGTTGCCACGGACTTCCATATTAGCAAATAAATACTATGGCTACACTTTTGCTGTTTGTTCAAACTACTAATTTAAAATGAGTTAAAACTACACAATTCTAAAGTGTTTTTTTTTTTTGGACAACTTAATTGTTTAATGTTCAATCCACTTAAACTTGTAAAAACGATTAAGTTAACTTAATCACTTTGTGTTGGGACAACATGAAGGAATTGTGTGGAACCCAGGATTTGTTTACAGTGTAAATGGGTTTCCAGCATTCTTGAAAATATCTTCTTTTTAGGATCATGTTTATAAGATGTAGTCTCTGGGAGATGAGATGGAGTCTGAATAATGATTGGTCGCTCTATCACACGTCATAGATTAGATATACTTAAACTAGAGAAGCTTTTCAAGTCAGCAGACTAATTACTTTCAGTGTTGAGAGAGAGCAGGATGGCTGCAGAAGATGAAATAACTTTGTACAGAGTTGTTTCTGAGAGGAAAGTGAATTGAGTCTTGAGCCGGCGTTTTTATCTAGCGGTCATGATGTCCTGTGAGGTTAAGGGGTCTTATTGATGGTATTTTCTCTTAAAACGGTAAACAGCGGTAAACACTACATAATACTCACCTAATCAGCTATTCCTAAGCACTGATCCAAGAGATCATCATGTGACACATGGCTGGTAATTTAAGGTGCTGTGATTTAAAGGTAAATTAAACTAAGTTAGTATATTTCTTCAATGCAATATTTTGGTGTTATGTTTCTACAATTGTAGTGCTTAATATTCTGAATTAGCTTCTACTTACAGATTATTCTAGTTGTTTGTGTCATTTTTAATCATTGGCTCTTTAAAGCTTGAACTTCCTGAGTCTTTATTTAAGTATGTTGATGTAGTACAGAATATTAAGTAGGGGGCGGGGCTTTCCTTTTGCACATCATTCCCTCATAGCAAACTAGCGGTAAGAGGGGCGTGGTTACATTTGTTTTGAATGAAGCTTTCAAACTGACTTCAACATTAAAGAACCGCCACTCCAAATGCAGAAGCAAATTTTCAGGCTTTGATTGAAGATTACCAAAACAAACTCTTTTTTTTCAGTGTATTAAATTCCATAACTGTTTATTTAAAGAGTTTTTTGAAGATTTTTATGTAAAAATATAGCTTTTATTTATTTTTGGTTTTTAGACATTTTAGTACTTCAAATTAAACTTTAAGCTTTCTAATATTTTTTCTTCAGAAATATTTTGGGATTTTTATAGTTTTAATTTAGTTCTGTTTATTTTTCCAATGACACAGCTACTAAAGCTTAATAATTTTTTTTACTCCACTTTAGTTATATTAGTGCTTACATTTATTTCAGTTAATAATTTTAAAAGCTTTATTTTAATGGATTTTAATTGTTTATTACTTAACAATGACATAATTTTATTTTGCCATATTTAATTTCAAATAATGTATAAACAGTTAAAGTCAGAATTATTAGCCCCCCATTTAATTTGTTTATTTTTAATATTTCTCAAATGATGTTCAACAGAGCAAGAAAAATTTCACAGTATGATTGATCATATTTTTTCCTCTGAAGTAAATCTTATTTGTTGAATTTCAGCTAGAATAAAAGCATTTTTTTACTTTTTAAAAATCATTTTAGGGTTAAAATTATTAGCTCCTTTAAGCTGTATATTTTTTTTATTGTCTACAGAACAAACCATCGTTAGTAACTTGTCTAATTACCCTAATCTGCCTTTAAATGTCACTTTAAGCTGTATAGAAGTGTCTTGAAAAATATCTAGTAAAATATTATTTACTGTCATCCTGACAAAGATGATAGAAATCAGTTATTAGAGATGAGTTATTAAAACTGTTATGTTTAGAAATGTGTTGAAAAAAATCTTCTTTCCGTTACACAGAATTTGAGGGGAAAAAATAAACAGGGGCTAATAATTCTGACTTCAACTACATGAATATAATTTTCTTTCAGTATTAGAATTAGTGATTTTAACAGTTTAATATAATTTCAGTCAACTTGCAAGACACCATTTCTATTATTTTTAGTTACATGTTCTTTCTCATACTTATTCTTCAGACCAGCATTATTTGAATTAAAGAGACACATTTTCTAGACTTTTTTTTAAACAATGACGCTACCAAAAAGTTTTATGCAAGATCCAGCTCCAGATCTCCAACTAACTGTATTTAGCCATTAGAAGCGTTTCATATAGCCTCATAATTGTACTTAAGTATGTTTCATAATCCAGATCTCCACATGCAGCGCTTTACACTAATTGTGTTTGCCAGGGTGCTAAACTTGGTTGATCAAGTCACCGGTGACCCCGGTCAGCCTGGTTATGACATGCCCATAATAGAGTCTGCTCAGGTGACCTGTGAATAAAACCTGCTTGCCATTTCACTTTGCCAACCTCAAACAAAAGATGCTGACAATGTCCTATAAAAAAATAATAATAATGTCCTTGTATCACATTGGTATTTTCTTTCTACAAATGAACATGGATTTGAATGTGAAAAATGAAAGCTGTTAACCATGATATACTGTTATTGGCATCAGTCCTACAGTAAATCTAATTACATAAACACACACGCACAGCTATGGGGATGTCTCATGATGATTTTTATACTGCACAAACTGTAAAAACAACAATGGTTAAAGTCACTTCTTAAAGCAAAGAGATTCTGTTTTGGAATAACAGATGTATTTAATATACAATATTGTTAAAATCATTACTGTTTAAAGTTTAGGGTCAGTGAGATTTTTTCCAATGGCAAGAACTTCTAATATTGAATAATCATGCACTATGAGGCTGCATTTGTTTGATTAAACGTACAAAACATAGCAATATTTTGAAAAAATCTTCCAATTTGACCTAAATATGATTATATACAGTATGTGATTTTTATATATTTTAAAATGTAATTCAAGTATGTGGCTTATTGAATTTTATTTATTAGTCACATGATCGCTTAGGAATGCTTTTAAATTGTTGATTTGCTGCTCCAAAAATACTTTTTTTACCACAATAAATTATATTTTTATGTATTTGTTTGTTAATTAATTAATTAATTAGTTTATTTATTTGTATATAAAATGATATAGGTCGTCACTTAAAAAAATCTATCTGTTCGTCCGTCCGTCCGTCCGTCCGTCCGTCCGTCCGTCTGTCTGTCTATCTATCTATCTATCTATCTATCTATCTATCTATCTATCTATCTATCTATCTATCTATCTATCCATGTCAAATAAAACATTTACCTATACTACAGTACATGTTAATAATATTACAGTTTTACTCGCTTTGGTGGATTTCTCGCAACACTCGTGCATTTCTGCACAACAGTTTCTCAAAACAATTAGTACAAATTGCAAAACCGAGATGATAACCTGCAAAAGCGCCTCACATACTCAAAATGAATAGTTCATTCTTCAAAAGCAAGTATTCATGTCAATGAAAGTGTCAGTATCATCAAAATGAAAAGTCCTGACACCATTGTTTATAAACAAGATCAAGTCAAAGGACTTTGTCATGTTTTCATTATGACAGTTTACTCTGTATATTTTTTCAATGCTAAAAAGTCAGATTTTGGTGACACTTCCTATGATGCTCAAGACAGCACTGTATACTATTTGCATGGCCATTTGAAAACTAAAGTTAGACATCGCTGTATTTAGTGAGGTATCTGAGTACAAGACACTGAATATGTATGTTTCACATTTTCACTGCATTTGATCTTCGAAATTCTAAATTATTCACAGCATTGTGCAAAAAGAACAAATACGGAAAATAATTTTATATATATATATATTTACAAGTTTAGTTACAGTTTTTCTCAGTGGCTTTGGTGCGTTTCTCACAACACGAGTGCATTTTTGCAAAACAGTTAATGCATTTCTCAAAACAATTAGTAGAAACAGCAAAACCTAGCTGATAACCTGCAAAAGCGGGTCACATGCTCAAAATGGATAGTTCATTCCTCAAAAGCAAGTGTTCATGTCAATCAAAGTGTCAGTGTCATCAAAATGAAAAGTCCTGACACCATTGTTTATGAACAAGATAGTCAAATAGATGTGTCATGTGTCATTATGACAGTTTACTCTGTACATTTTTTTTAATGCAAAAAGTCAGATTTTGGTGACACTTCCTGAAAATGCTCAAGACAGCACTGTATACTATTTGCACAGCCATTTGAAAACTACAGTAAAGTTAGACATCACTGCATTGAGTGAGTACAAGACACTGAATATGTATGTTTCACATTTTTACTGCATTTGCTCGTTACAATCCTAATTTATTCAAAGCATTGTGCAAAATAATACTGTAAACACACCCTTATTTACAACAAACATAAACTCCCTTTGGATAGAGCTGTGCACAACTATACACAATATTGCAGTACATATTGGAACTGAGCCTACAACATACACAGGTCTGTAAATCATTCATCAAATAGTTCAATTTTAAAGACATTTTTTAGGAAAAATATAGATTTAAATTTGTTTTATAAAATTTGTTTGACAGATTTTGACAACTAGTTCAACATTTTTGTATGTAAAGACTGAAGTAATGAATGAGGACTATTAGTTTTATATGGAATGACTGTTCAGCATTTACCAGTTTAGTTAATTTTGACTGACATGACATAAGCAAATGATAATGTTATAAACAGCAGAGAGTTGTATGAAAGCAATTGATGCATGTCCAAA